ATCAGGGGATAATGAACAAAGCATATGCTTCTTTATCCAAAAGAAAAAACTAAAAGGTATCGTTTATAGCAACTTGTAGAATGTAAGAAAGAAGAATGTATTTGGACATTCTCTCTCAAGATTCTTAAAAAAGGATCTTGACTATGTTCAGAATCTTGTAGACTTGCCTCTACTGTGAAAAGTATTTACGCAGTCATGATGTACAACAAATGCCATTATTATTATTCACCCCCTGCAATCAACCAGTAGCAGAAAGTTTAAGATTTCATAATGTTACAAAATGTAATATAAATACTATCAATTTTAATTTTTAAGTCACCTGGATAGAAGCTGAGGGAGTAGGTAAGAAAAGAAACAGAAGAAATGATGGGGCACTAACTGCCTCACCCTACCAAATGCAGACTCGAGAGACACTGACATTCATAAAACAGAAATAAAACTTTAAGTATAGTAAAGTCACAAAGATAACCAATGGAACAATTTAAAGTAGTCATATAACTGCACTGGAAGTAGGACAAGGGCAACAGTAAGTGTAAACTAAACTCCCACCTAATAATCTACCAAGATACACTAAATCCTCAATCTAATATCTGAAGTTGGTAGAAACTGGTACAAGTAAACTTTAAAATATTGAAATATCCATTAGAAGACTTTACAAAACAGGTGAGGTCTGCAGAGCAGAACTAGGATGAAAGGGGTAGGGAAAGAGATTGCTGCTTTTCATTTCACAAATTCATCTATACTGATTAAAAAAAAAAAACCTTACAGATGAGTACATTTTAAAAGTTAAAGGCAAATTTTTTAGAAACTTTTAAGAAAAAAAATTTTACACAGGAAAATTAAACTTCAATGCTTTCATTATGTGAATGTTTGTGATCTGTTTTATATATTCAAAAGTGTGTGTACATACATACATGTGTATATTTTAAAAGCTAAAGTAAAATGCTTTTCACAATATTTTGTTATGGGAAAAATTTCTCCACCTCACAAAAAAAGTCATCTTTTCAATGTTTCCACAGATAGAAAAAACATTACCACAAGGACTGAAATTAACACAAAAATGTTTCAGGTGAAATGAACACTTAAATGGTTATTTCATTAACCTATGAGATCACCAAAATAGCAGTATTAGTTGCCAGACTATACCTTTCTCCTTTTAACACAGGAGTGTTTAATTGTTAAAGGGACTTACAAATAACTTCAAACTCTTCTTTAGGAGGAACAACTTACCAAACTGCAGTTTTCAGTTTTTACTTTAAAATCATGCTTTCCAAATCTTTAATAAGATTATTTAAATAGTACCGAAAAATATTTTTAACTTTTAACATTAGAAATCATGGTACACCAAAGACGAGTATCACCCGCCATACAGTGGTGCTGATTGACTTTGACATTCGCGAACATGCTGTATTACAGAGCAGGCTTGGTTCACCAAAGCATTTCAGACAAGTCTTCCTTGCTGTCCTCCAACTCCACTTCACCCGCAAGTTACGTTTTATCAGTTTGGTACATATACTTTCAGAATTCTGTGCATGCACACAAACGTGTATTCACAAAACATTTAAAAATTGAACACAGAGCACCAAATGACTAGTTATTACTCTCAGTAGTACATTGTGTACATTTTCAAGACACAAATACTCTCCTTCAGTTTACTGTTTGCTAATTGCCTTAGGAATTTCTAATGGCTGCACTGTATTCCTGTAAATGAAATACCCCATATTCAACTGCCTGAAAAATAATATTCCATGTCTTAGGTAAGCTGTCTAATGGTCAAAGTCATATCTTGAAAATTGAAGTCTCCTGCTCTAATTTCTCACATAAAAATCACTCTCAAATTTTACATTTCCCCAAAACATATTAATATATGGTCAATAACTAAACTATACATGACTAGCAGGACTATGTAATTTATCAAAGATCAAAACAATAAAAGAAAAAAATCTTAAAGATACAGATAAAGAAGAACTAAAACTGGAGAAAATACAAAGGGAGTGAAAACAAGAGTCAAGACCAAACTTATAAATCAAGAGGCACTTTAAAAAGTACAAAACAATAGAAAAAAAAGATGTTACAAGAGTACAGAAAAACTAAACTTTTTCAATTTAAGCTTTATTTTCATAGAAAATAAGTGTGAAAGTTTCTGAAAGAGCCCATAAGCAAAAGCCAAAATTATTAATATTAAAAATCTTTATATTAATCAAAGATATTGTAAACAGTAACTTGAAAATGGTATTACTTTTAAAACCTGAAGTTTTAAGAAATGGTTATTTGGTTCTGAAATGGAGCAGGAGTCATCACAAAGACATCCCCACCCTCTCTCTCTCACCTCTTGTTTAAAGGAAAGTTTTAGCCTCCTAAGCTAAATCTGATTCAGAGAAGCAAAATGCAGAAAACTAAGGAAAGCAGTCAAGCAAAACAAGATAATACTGGCTTAACCATAAAGCAAAGTCAAGGACCTTTAGCTCCTGCGCAAGGCCTGCAGATAGTATCCTGAGCCGTATCCTTCAGTTGTTTTGTAAAAACTAAAACCCTCACCAGGTGGAAGAACCCAACTGCATGCTAACCACCAACAAGTAGACCTTAGACCCCTAATACCAGGCTGATAATTTGAAATTCTAAAATGCCACCCTGTTACCTCACCACCACCTAATCAGGAAGAGGTCCATGAGCTGATGACTCACCACGACCCTGTCCCTCATCTTCCCTTTAAAAACCCTTCTTTGAACCATCCCTGGGGAGTCTGTCTTTTAAGCATGAACTGCCATTCTTCCTTGCAAGGCCCATCAGTGAATGCAGCATACTTCCCTTTACCACAATTCTATATCACTGTAGGCTTTGCTGCATGTCAGGCAAGTAGACCCAACTTTGGTTGGATAACCGTTTCCTATTAGTTTATCAAGTAGCTAGCCCTAATTTTTAAACACATCAACCATGCAGGTCCAAAAAACAGTAACTACAAAATATTTCCTTAAAGGAAAAAATGAAAGTTTTCTCTACTCCAAAAGATCTGCATAAAATAGTTTAAATACACTAACTAGAAAACCAAGTAAGAATCTTTACTTAACACTTAACAGATGTTTAACATGAAGTCTACAAAACACCATTATTTTTAAGTAGGATTCAGTTCAGCTCAGTTCTGTCNGTTTCTCATGATGTACTCTGCATATAAGTTAAATAAGCAGGGTGACAATATACAACCTTGACGTATTCCTTTTCCTATTTGGAACTAGTCTGTTGGTCCACGTTCAGTTCTAACTGTGGCTTCCTGACCTGCATACAGGTTTCTAAGTAGGATTACACACATTAAACCACCTTCATAACGGTTGATATGACTTCTTTAAATGATGCAGTCTTCTGTAATATACAATATAAACCCAATACTAATGGGACAATTAGTTTAGATGCCTGTTAAAACTATAAATTACCTATCTTTTTTAAACCACCTGTATCGCTATTAATTCATACATAACTATTGCTCATCTTTCCTAATACTACTCATATTTAATTCTTCTAACTATAAAATGTACATCCTCTAAAAAAAATTTGGAAAGATGAATCAGAAAAACCATAACTCCACTTTTGACATGTTCTCCCAGTCATTTATCTAACAAACATCAAACCTCTTTTTTTCTTAAGTTATAACCATATCATCACTAAAGAAGTACAGTGATGTTAATTCTTAGTGGTTGCAAAATTAGTCTCTTATCTACATGTACTTTTGTGAAGTAATAACATTAGAGAGGACTTTCTATTTCATCCACCAATGTTAAGAAAAAAAGGTACTGGCATTAGAAAGAAAAAGGGCTAATTTCAAATATTGATTTTCTAAATTAAGATGAAAATGACCTTGTATAAATTACAATGTGAGTCTGTCTGAGAGATGAAAATGGAAAAAACTGCATCTACCAAACAGGGTTATTTTGAGGATTAAATGATACCTGTGAAGAGAGCATCCAGTGTCTGGTTGGCACTCAGTAGTAACTTCACTAGTATCAGTTCTTCCTTTCCCCTTAAAGTCGTGAATGCAACACAACTACTAAAAGCCAGACTTTTAAGATATAAATTTAGACATAAATAGTGAAAAGTTGTCGTCTTATCAGAGTTGTATTCATTCGCTATCTAAATTATTTCACATCCCACTTACACTAGCAACAACTCAGATTATTACCACACCAGAAACATTTCCTTTTCCTGAAGTAAAATTTTAAGTCTATTTTACACATGCTTGAAAGTGAAAGTACACTTGCCTATCTAAAATTATAGCCAACAAGAGAGAAGAATGCAGAAAATTCTCTTGTAAAAGTATAGCATCAGTTAAAACCCAGCAGCTGAGAATACCGTTCAAGGATAATTAAGAGATGGAAGAAAAAAGCAACTCTAGACTTTTTTTCTTCCCTTCACTCCCAAGGATAAGTTTGGGGATGAAAAAGAGAGTAATTTTTCGCAGCAATTTACAGAGAACGCCACGGACAAATAAGAATACTCCGGGGGAGTGGGGGGCGGAGGGTAAATTTGAAAATTGTTCTCTACGTAGGTCCGAAAAGCTCGGACTCCAAGACTTAACAACCTTGGGATCTTTCAACAGAACTGGGGAATGAGACAGAGGGAAGAGAGGGTAAGACTGTCGACAGAAGTCAGAGTCAGAAAAAGCAACGGGAGGGGGAGGGGCAGCCCCCCAAACGCCAAAGACCCAGCTGCTTCGCTTGCGGGAAAGCAAAATAGTTGAGCAACTAAGAAAATGAGGAAATCCCAGCGCAGGGAGAGAAGGAATGGAGGAGGGTGCGTGAGAAACTGGGAGGCTACAGCGGAAAAAGAGGGGTGGTGTCGGAGATAAGAGTCGACCGGGAAAAGGAGCAGAGGCGGGACGGGAAAGCCGGGACAAGGATGTGGACCGGGAAAGGAGACGCGGAGGTCTCCGGGGTCGCCGAAAGTGAGAGGGGGGGGAAAGAAAAGCAGGGGACGACAGGGGGCCGAAGCAGCGCGGGGCGCCACGGTACCTGCAGAGATCGTCCAGGACGCTGCCGGGAATCTCCACCCGTTTGGTCTCCATGATGAGGACCCACAGCAGGAGCAGTGCATCCCGGCTCCGCGCGGCCGGGGACCGAGGCTACTGCAGGAAGACTCCGGCTCGCCGGAGAACACGCAGCAGCTGCGGCAGCGGCGGCGGTGGCTCCTACGGAAACGAGAGGGGAAAAGGGGCGGGACCGCTCACTTCCTTCCGGCTCCCTCAGCCCGGGACCCCGAGGCTGGGCCTAGGCGGGGGGCGGAGTCCCGAGAGCCACGCCCCCGCTCTGCTTGAAAGACCCAATGGGAAGGTGGAGAACTGGGACCCTGAGCAAGCTAAGCCAATGGGAACGCGGAGAACTGAGCAAGCTAAGCCAATGAGGTGTTTGTTTATTGGTCCGTCGGCTCCAATCCGTCTTCAAGCTGCTCAGTTACTACTCAGTAAACCAACTTCCCGCCGCTGGTCCTGGGCCTTGGGGTGGATAGGCGCATGCGCATCATCCCTCTTTAACTCTACTAGGAAATCTGGAGAGTACCGGTTTTCCCTCTGGGTGGTCTTCCTCACACCCTCTCGGTGACTGAGTAGGCGTTCTGACCTTTGCAGTGCTGAGCCCGTGGGCGCATTCAGCACGAGCGTGCATGCGTGATTTCTGTCACCAGATACCCCGCAGACACTCTCACCGTCACCCCCGCCACTTCCAGGTTGTGTATCCTTTCACTACAACCCGCCGCAGAGAGTTGTCATTTTTGTGGTGGCCCACCGCGTTTGCTCTGTAGGCACCCAGTCCTAACTGTGAAGACAGGGGGATTTATCCCTGTACTTGACACCATGTGAAATATGAATTGATCCTAACTGTGAAGACAGGGGGTTTTATCCCTGTATTTGACACCATGTGAAATATGAATTGATCCTAACAGAATTGATCCTAACTGTGAAGACAGGGGGTTTTATCCCTGTATTTGACACCCTGTGAAATATGAATTGATCCTAACTGTGAAGACAGGGGGTTTTTATCCCTGTATTTGACACCATGTGAAATACGAATTGATTGAACCTGAACTCGGGAATCTTCATTTCACCTGCTGCAAGCTCACATCACTCCAACTGGCTAGTCATCATTCATTCCACAATCTTGCTTAATGGAGTCTTAATGGATCCTTGCAGAAACTCTGGATCCATCCATTTTTCAACTTGCTCCTTTTACATCAGACTCACAGGCCCACACACACCTGCTCAGCCGTGAGTTTAGTTCTTTCTACCACTTAATCTCCCATCTTTTCTCTTAATAAAATACCCACTGCCTTTATGTCAAGTTCACATTAATTCTCCACACTACTCCAAGAGCTGCCTAACCAGTACAGCCTCTGCCTCCATTCTTAGCCTGTACAACTGCCCAAGTTTTGTTTTGTCCAGATATGAACAGATGACTGTCTTTTCAGCTTCTGATGCATGTTCAAGCCCAATTTTTACATAGGAGCCATCTTATCATCTGTTTTACTCTGTTTTCCATCTTTATCTTTTTGCTTTTTATTGGAAGACTCCTCAAGTTTGTTTTCCAGCCATCTGTAGTTTTTACTTTTCTAGAATTTTCTTTCATTGTTCAGATGTCTCTTAGTCATGGTGTCATAGCCATGCTTCATAAATCTCATACTCCTATGAGGATATTAATACATTTAAAAGCTTTCTTCTTCCTGAATAGTCTTTTATTCCTCTCAGTTGCTTTTTTCTATTAATTTGGTCACCACCTATCGTATCAGAAGTTTTCTGGTGATGCTTAACTATTCACTCATACTTAAGATTATGAAACTAAAAGACTGGAGTCAAGTGCTATAAAAGCTAATTGGAGTGGAGTTTGGGGGAGGGGAGTTCTGGGGAGAATGGATACATTTATATGTATGGCCGAGTCCCTTCACTGTTCACGTGGAACTGTCACAACATTGAATCATCTGTGTGTGTGTGTGTGTAAAGTTGCTCAGTCGTGTCCAACTCTTTGCAACTCCATGGACTGTAGCCCTCCAGATTCCTCCATCCATGGGATTTCCCAGACAAGAATACTGGAGTGGGTAGCCATTTCCTTTGCCAGGAGATCTTCCCAACCCAGGGATCAAACCCGAGTCTCTTATGTCTCCTCTTTTGGCAGGCTGCTATTTACCGCTGTGGTCACCTGGGAAGCTATGCCCCAATACAAAATTAAAAGTTAACAAAGAGCTGACTGGAAGCTCCCAGGGTGTGGGTGGGACTTGAGAGCTTCACAGTAGGATGATCTGACTGGGCTGTTGTCTGGGAAAACATGGCATTGGAATCTGTAGGTCATTCTTTCTAGCTGGTCAGATTCCCTACAGAGAAAATCCTTTCAGGTCAAACTGGCAGTATTCTGGGAGTCAAGTAGGGAAGCACAGGCTGGAATATTCTGTTTGTTCTCTTCAGTTCTCCCTCCACAGTACTAGTCTATTTTGGGTTTACTAAGAAATAGGCCCTGAGGCAAGGATTTGAGTGCAAGTAGTTTATTCAGAAGATGATCCTGGGAAAGACTTGTGGCAGAGAAGGGAGGTGAGTCAAGAAAGGGAAGAAAGCCAATGAAAGGATTTTTATCAACATAGTACTGTGGTTGACTGGAGCTAATCCAACTGGAGAACCTTGAAGGCCTTCAGGCACACTTCAAGAGTCATCCTACTCAAGGGGTGAGAAAGATGATACTGATACTAACTTCCACCAGATATTTGTTCAGGACTGCCCTGGGGGTCATCACCCCAGCTTGCCACATGGGCAACAAGGAAGGCTCTGGTGACCAGAAAAAGCCCTCATCAGGTGGAAAAAGTTAATTACATGATGACCAGATGCTAGTCTTGTAGTTGCTCAGTCTCGAGACCAAAAGACAACCCTGGAGACAGCAACAGAAGCATCAGTGGTGTATTGAGCAGGAGGATCTTACACACATGACCCTGAAGTGACCCGACCATGTGCAGCAGATGGTAGGCAGGACATGACAGGAGGCAAAGGAGGCTACCATTTTTAGGTGGAATTGACATCAGGTGGGCTCAGTGACTAATTAAGGTCTATATTTAAGAGGATTGGACTGTCGTGTGAGTGAAACAAACTGGACAAGCATGGGATGTACAGGAAGCAAGAGAAGAGCCATCTTAAACAGCCTGACTATGGAGACGTGCAAGTAGCTTGGGCAATGGATTGATAAGGACGTTGGAGAGCCCCTTCAGCATTCCATCTCACTGGGTGTGCATTCTCTCTATCCTACTGTCACAAGAAGGGCACCGTGAGGCCTTCCTGAGATGGACGCCACTCCCCATGTCCTCTAATTGCCTCTTTCTGTAGAAAAACTTTTGCCAAAGACTAAATTTAATCAGAGAAGTAAGAAAATGTGAAAGCAAAGGAAAACAATCAAACAGACAAAATAATAATTTAGCCATTGAACAAAGTTAAAGGCTTTTAGTTCCTCTTCAAGGGCTACAGATAATATTATGAGCTTCATCCTTTGAGCTGTTTGTAGATACTGAAACTCTCATCAGATGGAAAAAGCTAACTACACAATGACCAGACTAGTAATGACATAAACTTCTCCATCTTACACAATTCTGAGAAATGACTTCAAAGAGATGGGAACAATCAACCCTGGAACTGAAGATTAGCTGTACTTAAAACAATCAAGATGACACATATCAGACCACTGCATGACCAAGTTCAAGGTGACTGTCAGAGCTGACTATGCTGTTCTGCATGTGGCCCCCTCTCTCCGCCTGTACACCCCAAAAAACTCCCCTTTGAAAGCTCAGCAGTTAGTAATTGGCTTTTAGACACATATCTGCCTTCTCCCCAGATTTCTGGCCTCCTAAATAAAGTTGTCTTTCCTTTCCTACCAACACTTGTCTCTCAATTACTGGCTGTCAAGTAGTGAGCAGATAAACCTGAGTTCAGTAACACTAACTGAACTTCTTTTCTCTGTCTGGGAGCACCTTGGGGGGGCTATATTTCCTAGTTGTCCACTTGCAATTCAAGTCTGGCTTATAGAGTACTCTAAATGACAAATGACGTCCATCAAACCATGGTGGAAGGCAAAGAGGTGTTTATCCCCAAGTGGCCAATGGTAGGAAAGCATTCAGGTTCCCAACCCCACTGAGGAATCAGTCTAGAGGAACTCTTCCTGCTCTCCTATTTCTTTACAGTCTCCCAACTCAGAGGCAGCTACACAATTCCTTTTTTTACTTTTAGGGGCCAAGAAGTCCCCAAACTGTCACAGTGCTAAGTCGACCTTCCCCACAAAGAATTCCAACAATGTCTGAAGGCACACATCTTCCAAGTTACTTTCCTGTCCATTCTCCATCTCACCCCTGCTTCCTCTCCACACACATCTAGGAGCTGGGCTCCTGCACAGTGCAGCAGCCCTCTGAGCTGTGACTTCCAAAGAACCCAAGGCCTCATTCAAACCCAACTGTTCACAGCAATCTGTGGCCTGAGAGCGGAAAATAAACTGGAGTTTGCAGCTAAGGGAAAGGAAGATGCTAGCTTATAGTGCTGATGTGAGAACTCCCCTGGTGGTCTCAGTTATTAAGACTCTGCGTTTCCAATGCAGGGGGGCCTGGTTTCAATCCCTGGTAGGGGAAATAGATCCCACATGCTGCAACTAAGAGTTCACGTGCCACAAGAAAAGATCCAAGTACCACAACTAAAAAAAGATCTCACATGCTGCAAAGAAGATCAAAGATCCCACATATTGCAACTAAGACCTGGTACAGCCAAATAAAAAATTAAAATATTTTTAAAAAATACTGATATGATGTTTAAATAGTTGGCTTGATCAAATCTTTATGGTTTATCTCACCATGGGGTAGGCAGATAGCAATTAACGAGGCTTATAAAGATTAAGTGACTTATAAAGATTAAGTATGTAATGGAGGCAGGGCTAGAATTCAGGTGTTCAGAACTAATTAGCAGGAATTCTGCTTCAAGGAGAATGACACGATAATAATTACTGATGTCTGTACAGCATACTAAAATAGAAAATTATTTCCAGGTACAATAATCCTCACAACAAAAAAAGTTTGTTTGTGGAATTCTAAAAATAATACTGAACAAGCTTACTGGCCTCTCTCAAGTCAGCTGAGCTCCTGACAGCTCTGTAGGTCTTCCAGCTCTGCCCCACTCCACTTGTTAACTCAGGACATTCGTGAGTTGGCCCTGGTAGTCCCAGACATCATATCCTGATCTGATGACACTCAATAAAAAGAGGA